AGTTGTCAGCACCAGGTGTACTGAGAAGTACCTAAGTCATCATCCACTCCAAGAAATATAGACCTGGAAGACTCTGGAAATGGGATCAGGACTATTTGGGCGGGGAATCATGGGGTCTTGAGGACCTGAGGCATGGTTTAGAAGGGAAGGAAGAACCGGGCTCCAGTGAACACATTCTCTTGGAACCTCTGATGCCGTGCCACATGGTGAAGGCATGTGGTCCAAAAAGGATCCTGAGCAAGGGTCTTCCTAGCCTGGTTCTGAAGACAATACTCTATCTAGGAAACTGAATGACTATTCTATACACATCTGTTCTCTGTATTTCACCTGTTGTTAGCAAAACATAAAAATGACACCTGAAAAAATATGTAAAAGAAAATAATAAAAAGATACAGAAAATGGGAAAAAGGGGAGGAATATTACCCAGGAAGCCTTATTGTTTGTTTAATTTTCTATCTCACTGAAACACTTAATGTAATGTTCTAAATCTGTGCTGTACAAAATGAGAGTCACAAGCTACATCTTGCCATTTAAAATCAAATTAATGAAAGCTAAATTAAATTTAAAGATTACTAGCTAGATTACAAGAGCTCTCAATAGCCCATTGCAGCTGGTAGCCTCTATATTCTACATTGCAGGTAAAGGAAGTTCTACCAACATAGAAAGTTCTATTGAACAGCTTATAAAACAAATCAAGTCATTTCAGTGATTAGGCTTGCTGTGATCCAATAATGAAGTACCATATTTTGTGTTCTTTATCTGTCTTTCTTAGACCAAACAATTGGTTTTTAAAATCACAGAAGAGTCGATCACTTCAAATAGCATGTGCCTGCTGTGGAACATTTGATAAGATCAGCCACAACATGCTAAAGGGCCAGACCAGCTGTCCTACACAGACCACCAGAAAAGATACTAGTTTTATATTCAAGATGCTGTAAACAGCTAGGCAGAAATCTATTTCCACAGAAATTACACCAGAGCGTTCTAGCTTTGGTTTACCACTAATGTATACTTATGCACATGTGCCCAACAGAAAGTTACTTAACATCTCTCTGCTTTAGTCTCTTTGTCTTTGAAGTGAAACCAATACGATGCTCAATTTGCCTCATGGAGACACTTAACTCTCTTTCCCACGTGTGCCTGATTTTAAGTAGATTCGTTGCTGCATGTGAAGTTAGGTTTCACCTTGCCTGAAACCTTTCCTTGGGTTCCTGAGGGCTTTTCCAAGGACATGTAAGTGTAGATTTAAGATCTAACTGGCAGTCTGCATTTTTTCTCAACACGAATGTTAAAATATCATCTTGCACAAACATTTATGTGTGAATTTTCTTTTCAGTCCAATTCAGGGATCCTTTAATTATAGAATACATTGT